AACCTGCTGCTGTGAAGCAGGATTCTCCACCATGAACAGAATCAACAATAAATCTGGATCCAGGCTCAAAATGAGCTCCTTGATATGTGCTTGAGAATGGCTTAGTCTCCGGTTAAACCCAGGTTTAAAGCCTTGCAGGGCAGCCTAAAGCCCACTGCCAACATTAAGACAGAAAAAAGAAAGAAAATAACAAACCATCAGTTCAGGGGTTTGAGAAAATATGGGAATCAGGAAATTATCTATAAACCAAACTGAAAGATTGTTGTTCTCTACTTTAAAAACTATTTAGATTTTAAAATGTTGTTTTTTATATATTATTTTTTTTAAAAAGTCAAAGTATAACATGGACGCATAAACACCTCATTTTATTTTAGGGTTAAATTCTGTTTAAAGTAACAGACGGACCTTTACTGGTTATTGATTTTTAATTGGTTACCCCCGATCTAAGGCCTTCACAGAACATCTAGAACTATAAAATCACACAGTGGTGGTCTCCAGCTACCAGCTAAATCACATCTGAAGACACTTGGTAACCCTGGATAATATTTAGGAGTAAGAACTGTTTTTCTTGATCAGTCATATAAAATCCTGAGAAAGAAAATCTGAAGCAGTTTGAATATTTTGGCCAGTAGGAGGTCTCCATTCCCTCTTATATCATTGCAGCTCCTCCAGTGTTTCCACATTCTCATCCAGTCACCTGAATAAAACCAGAACTGAAACTAAACTCTGTTACATCAGAGCAGGGAGCCCTGTAATAACGTGAGCATAATAGGTTAGTATTAAAGCATTAAAGTGTGTGAGAACTGAAGCCAATAAACAACAAACAATAAACAATGACAAACACTGAGCAACAAGCTGCAGCTTGAATGAGGAGTTTGACTTGACTGGAGAACTTGTTTGGCTACCAGGTGCATGCAGTTCATCAGATGATGTTGTGTTTGTTTGGCAATAAAATTATTATAGTCAGTTTTTTTGCACTTTTTCTCTAACTCTAAAAGTTTAAAAAGCTTTTATATTCCAAAACAACCTGCTGTCTTAAGCCTGCGCATCTCAGACCTGAGACAATTAAACAAAGGATCCGTCTGTTGTTTCCAGCAAACATGCAGAATAATGCTACGTCCAGACCGCACGCCATGGAAGCAGCAATAAAGCTCCTGCTGCTTCATTTCTGATGTCCACATTAAGGTCAGCCGTCCAGTAAAGTGAGTCCAGATGTGTCTGCTGCTCCTGTGTTCAATGCCATGTGCCTTAACCATAGACTTTGATTGTAAACCGGCTGCTTCTGCAACTTCAGTAGCGTGCAGTCTGAACGTAGCATCATACACGCTTCCTCTATGAACCCGTAGGAACTGAAGCAGGACGGTCTGTACGTCCTGGATCCAAACATGAGAGAGATAAAACCCAAGCCTGAATCTGTTGGTGCTTCCAGATCTGGTCTGACCACCTAAACTAACCCACCAGCTTTCTGACTAAACTCCACGTTGGTCTACATCTATAGCGACCTTCAGTCGGCACATGTGTGTATTTCATTGCTCTGACCAAAGTTATGTTGTACCAAAAAAAAAGTGTTTCTTTGATTTTCATGAATTTCTTATAGAAGCACTTTTGTTATTTTTCTTAATATATATATATATATATATATATATATATATATATATATATATATATATATATATATATATATATATATATTACATATATTACATTGACATTAATTTTTGCCATGAAAAAGTCCATATTTCTTAATGTTACAAAGGTAATGAGGTATTGTCCTGGATTCCAACAACACTATTGCCCTCTAAAGGGTTAAATCTTTTTGTCTTGTGTTTTCATTTTTCTCTCTCTCTGTATTCCATCAATGTAGAAAAAACACAGATAAAAGTATGACAGGAAAGAGGGAGAGACATGAGGCAAAGGACCACAGGCCGGGTTCAAACCCAGGTCGGCCACGTCGAGGCCTAAGGCCTCCTCCATACGTGGGTTTTAACCATTGCACCACCTGCAGGACCTAAAGTATCTAATTCTGTTCTTTCTGCATTCAGAGTGTGACCAAAGACACAAAGATCCTAAAGACGTGTTTACAAAGAAGCAGATCTTATTTTGGCAGATTAGACTAATCCTCTGCATCTCTGCACACCTTACCCCAGCCACGGTCATTAAGTCTGATTCATTATTCATCTTCATGAGATCCATAATTCATGGTTTCAGTGGAGCACTCTGCTTGTGAATAACAAAGCATCCTCAGGGTTCCCATGTTGCTGCAGTCATGCATCTCTGTGTCCCAGATTATGGGTTAAACACAGAGTTGGGCATCTGCACCACTTATGTTGTGATCTTATCAGATTATTGGTGGCGGTGGTGAGAAAGCAGGAATGGTAGAATGTGATAAACATGGATTAGGAATTGTTGAAAGGAAAAGTCCGATCAATTCTAACTCCTGAAAGTTCTTTAAATGTGAAATGATTCCATCCTGTTCAATAAATGATCAGTGTTTTTAATTCAGAGTAATTTTCATGTGAATGTGCTTTACTGGAGGCATCCATGTTTGTCAAAGAACACTACTGCCACCTACTGGTTAGTGACGTCACGCTGCGGTATCGGCTGTTGATCAAGTCCCAGTGCTGTATCTGGTGTTTGTCACAACGCGCTATTATCCAAGTCATCTTGAAAACATTCTTCTTCCAAATGTTGGCTACATATTACGGGTTTTTTCTCTGGCCAGAAGTTCGATGGCAAATCCTCCCTCTTCAAGTTGGCGATCCAACGACCAACCCGTCCGTGGAGGATCAGGAATCAGAAAGGTGACGATTTCGGCACTGGTGCTGGCTTAATCTCCAACTCCTCACACCTGCTCACTCCACCCTGCCTGCGATTATCACTAATTGGTCCCACCTCTATATATAGCTCATTTGGATCTGTTCCCAGTGCCAGATCGTCTCAAACCAACTATTGAGTACCTTCCAGCTTTTCTATATTTTTGCCTGCCTACCTGTTACCTGACCTGTTTTTGCCTTTTTCTCCGAGCCTGCCAGACCCCTTATCTGATCCTGACAGCCTGCCCTGAATCCAAACCAGTTCTGCCTCTGAATCCTTGCACCAGTTCTGCCTTGGATTGCCTGCCTCTGAGCCTGAACCCCACTCAGTCAGCGAGTAACCGAGTCTGCCTAACTCTTCTGCTTCTCTCAACCTGCCAGTAAACGAACCCTCGATCGGACCTGGACCTCTCTTCTGGATTGCCCCTCTGTACCTTCGCTTGGACCCCATCTCTGGAATCAATAAACGAACTGTCTCTGGAGCTCATCGGCCTCAGTCCTCAGCTAACCATCCGCCGCTCAACGGCCACCGCTTCCACAAGCCCCTTCATCGTACGGACTCCTGCCCCGGACCCCAAACGGTGCCAGTCGCCCACTCTGAGACCCAGTAACAGGTTAGTGATCCAGCCTCAGTCCCTCTCTAGTTCTCCTATTGCTGATCACTAACCTGTTGTCTCCACCACAGGGGATTTCCTGACTGAGAGCCGCCTGCACGCTCCCTGTGCCTCTCATTATTAATAAAATCTGTTGCATTCCACTCACCTGTCTGAGCTGTTTTCTGGGTCCAATATCCTGTACGGTACACAGAAAGGTGGAATAACTCTTTTTACGGGCAAGATTGGCGAAATCATGGAAAGTTTGGAACCGGGCCTCAGCAGAGGACACAAAGAGTGGGACTGGAGAAGACTTTTTGGAACACAGAAAAAAAGACAACACTCTTTTCATCTGCACACCTTAAGCAATATTATCCTATATCTCGCATGACACTCAGTATACATTTGCAGGAACTACAAACTTTTTGAAAATAAGTCACTGGATTGCTGGAAACTGTTCATAGGACTTTTTGAAAATCACAGGAAAACACTCAGAAGCATCGACAAACACCTTTCTCAGGACATTTCCGGACTGCTTAGTAAATGCAAATATTTTCAGGACTGGACAATTAGATTAATTTTTGTGCATAAACATTAATTTTTTCACTGTAGATAATTAAGAGGGAAAGTATTTTTGTTGATATTAGTTTGTAATGAGTTTCTTTTTGTGGTTTTTTTTTTCTTTGGTGTTTCTGTAAACGAATAACAATTTTTGATTATTCTTTTTGTTCACTGTATATAGTTGCACCTATTCTTTTAAATAGATTTTTTACTAATAACAAAAGATTAAATAAATAAATAAGGCAATGGAATCGTGCTTTCTTGCTTTAAATGTAAACTGTCTCGTTCCATTGGAAAAATTTCACCTCCTCACTCCAAGAACAAAAGCACATATTTTAAGAAAAAAACAGTTCTCTAGACCTTGATTTTTTCCAGTGTAATAAGATGATTAAGATCCAGTAAAGTCCCGCCAACATGCAGATTTTCTTGTCATCTGTCATCCTATCAGACCTCCCTAGGTTATACATAAAACACCTTTTCTGGGCTTTCTATTTTAAACACTATTCCTGTTTAAACTCCGCTAAGCCCTCTCACAGCAGTCCAGGGAGAGCGTTGCAGTTTTGTTTCATGAGTTTTCTCCCAGAGGTTCAGATTAGCACAGTGTTATTGAAATTTCTGGCACACGTTCAAAGCCTTTTGCATTTTTAGAGTTTGCTAATGGCAGCTTCCTGTGTGGCGGTAGAAACAACCAGAAACTGTGTGACCTGCTTTTCTTTAATTACAGAAAACTGATGGAGGCAGCACTTCTTTAGAAATAAAAACAAAACTTTAGAGGAGGTTAATGCTAGAGCAATGGTGTTTGGGAAAGTCTGTGATTATGTGAAAGGTGGTTTATGAATGATCTCTGGCATGAATCTGCTGGGTCAGAAAATGATTTTTCCTTTGGGTTCCGACTCCTACTTTATGTTGAATCAAGACCTTTTAAAGCTGCAAAGTTGGAAAATAAGGCAGAACAACAGCAGCAGTGGTGATGAAGAGGGATTCCAGCCCATGTGGGCTGACCTTTGACCTGAAGCGTCTAGCTGCGCCCATCCGCTCCAGCCCTCCATCCTGCCAGCTCTTCCTCCTCCTCCCTTCATCCTGGGGGGGTCACAGTGGAATAAAGGTGTTAGAGCAGTCAATGATCTGAAGAGGGAAGGGTTCATAGCAAACCAGGAAAATTGGCCTTTTTAACCTTTGGCACAGATATGCATCATTTTCATCTAACAGCAGGAGGATATCAGCTGGGAGCATTAATCCAACATCAGGCAGCTCGAATTACTGGTGTTTGTCCTAAATATTGTATTTAAATTAATATGATTAAATTATTGAATCATATTCAGAAGTTAAACCTCTAAAAGTACTTTAAATGATTCCATCCTGTTCAATAAATGTTTCTAATTCAGAGTAATTTTCATGTGAATGTGCTTTACTGGAGGCATCCATGTTTGTCAAAGAACACTACTGCCACCTACTGGTTAGTGACGTCACGGTGCGGTATCGGCTGTCGATCAAGTCCCAGTGCTGTATCTGGTGTTTGTCACAACGCGCTATTATCCAAGTCATCTTGGAAACATTCTTCTTCCAAATGTTGGCTACATATTACGGGTTTTTTCTCTGGCCAGAAGTTCGATGGCAAATCCTCCCTCTTCAAGTTGGCGATCCAACGACCAACCCGTCCGTGGAGGATCAGGAATCAGAAAGGTGGAATAACTCTTTTTTTCACTTTTCCCCGATGTATTCCAGCATCCAGCTGCCATGCACGTGGGCATTGTCAGTTTCACTATAGCTCTGGTGAATTTCAATGGTGAAGTCCTCTGGAAATCTTCAATAATTGTTGTTGATTGCAGATGTGTCTAGTAGTTCCCATTGATTTAGCTTGGAAAGCGGGGAGAATGGCGCTAGGCTTACCGCACCGTGACGTCACTGCTGGTGATCGCAAAAAAAATTATCATCAAATTTTTTTTACTGATTAATGCTAACTTGATTAAATGCTGCGAATGTATTAGTTTCAGGTATAAATAATGATCCATTGATTGTTTTTCTTGCTGACCGGACTTTTCCTTTAAAAATTTTATTTCATTAAAAAAATCTTTAGCTATTTTATTGTTTGCAGATGATGCTGTGTTTTATCTGTATGAAGTAACTGCACCTTTTTTTAGTGCACAGTGGTGCTGTTAACAAACAATATTTTAAAGCTCCCTCATCCTGCTGTTTTAGGCCTTTAAAATCAGCTATGGGCACATATGGGATAAAATGGCGCCTTCAACACTATGGAATATTTATTTGTTTTGTAATATTAGCTTTTTTCCCAACCTGCAGGAACAGAACTTGTCGTCACTGCACCGCCATCTCCACCTTGCAGCATGAGAATCCAGAGCTTTTAGAACTAAAGGCTAATTTTCATGACAGATATTAGTTGCTGTCACTGTGCAGATTAGCTGCCTGTTTATCAGCAATCATTGTGTTTTGCCTCACATCGCAGCTGGATGACGGCTACACTGTCAGCTCAATGCACATGCTGCTACGCTGAGAGCAGACTACTGGTGTCAGAAACAGGGGCTGAACCAGATGGGGGGCCAGGGGTGAACATGGCCACCCCTACCATTTTTTCACTGTCTAATACAGACGTTGGCAGCAGTAATACTCTTAAAGGAATGTTCCAGCTTATTAAACATTTAAATTTTTCATACATTAACAATAACATGAAAACTAAAACACTGTGGTGAGTTATGCACATCAATATACTAACATTAAAGATGATAAGTACAGAATTCAGATTTTCAGAACTAGATTTTGTGTTTTATGGGGCAAAGAGAAAATGATGCATCTCTGCAAATCATCTAGGAGTCTTGAGTCAAATCATAGATAAATAACTATTTTAATATAAATGTATTAAATCATATTTTTTCTTGATATCAGTACTTGTAGATATTAATTTTATACAGAATGATTATTGATAAAAGTAGGTAAGTGATGAAAATGGAAAAGATCTGGAGGATCTTCAACCTATGATGAACTTCACTTTCTGTCTGAAAGGTTTGCACCAATCAGGTTATAACCTCTGGGATTTCAGGTTTGTTACAGTTTTATGTAATATGAGCTTGATACTATCTGCTGTTGGGGATTTTCTCAGCAATCTGCCATCTTTCTTTGAGCTTCCTCCGTCAGTCTAACCTTCAGCTTTAGTATTTTCTACCAGCTAAGATTTGACTGTTAAATGTTCAGCTTGAAGAGGTAAATACGTAGAGATCTGTGTGGTTGCTTAATGTTTCCCTGCAAAACAGTCATAGTCGCTTTTATGCCTGTTTCCAGTGTTCCTGCCAGGGTAACTGCAGCTGAAGCAGCTTCATCAGAGGCAGATAGACATGGGGGGGATTTTCCATGTGACTTATCAAATGAATATTTATTTAATTAATCAGTGAGAAACGTCTTCCTGCTCATCATAATATGGTGGCGCTTTGACCAGATCTCAGCTGAATCACTTAAGGGAAAGATGAAGCTCACTGTTGATTTTGAAACGTCAACTCTAGCTTTATTCCTGCCCCCCGTTTCCAGCGTGTTCGCCCCGATCGCTCAGAGGTCCCAGAGGGAACCTGCTGCCAAGCTCTGATAAATCTCCATCTGTCTCAGTCTTTGAGATCACCTGACCCTAAACCGTCAACTTGACCTTTACCCCTCCACCGCCACACGCGGCTGCTGGACCATTACGCTGCTGATGCTTAACAGAGGAGGACGTTTGTTAAAGTAACACGCCATGAGGTCAGAGTCCAGGAGTTGGTCTGTTCTCCTCATCCGGACTCCCTTTCACAGCTGAGCTTCCTACAGATGGAGCATCTCTGCCTTTTAATTAGATATTTTTTTTAATTACAAGAAGGAATAATTTTTTATCTTTTATATTTTAAAATGTCAGAGTAAAGTGGAACCAAAATCATATTTCTTTTATAAAGTCCCCCAATATTTGAGGAATAACAGATACTGACATTTCTTCTCCATGAGCAAATATTAGAGGCCAGAGAGCGACCATAAAAACATGATTCTACTGCATTTAAGGAAAAGAAGCTTCCTTGTTGCAGGGGCGGATTTACCATTAGGCAACATTGGGCAGGTGCCTAGGGCCCCAAGTTCCTGGGGCCCCATAAAACTTTTACATGTATGGTTAATACAGCTATTAACCCATTTAGGCCTAAAACGCCTGGAAAAAACACCTTAAAAACCTATGGCCGATTTTTAAAAAATACCCCTAAAACCTGAAGTTTTTCTGTAAATTCAGCAACTGTGTCAACGCCTAGTAAATTATTGATATCTCAGCTTCTGTAGCAGATAGAACTCAAAATATATTTTATCTTTGAAATTCTTCCAAAAAAAAAAAGTGAAAAACAGTAATAAAAAAAAAAAAAAAAAAATTCAACCTTTTATTTTTTCCATATGTGATCATGTCTTCATTGAGAATGTGCAACATAAAACGTTTTTAAAATAAAGAACAAACATTACATAAATAACTATCTGATGATTACTTAATAACAGTATTATTATGCATAATAATGCATATGTCTGTGTTATAAATTGCAATACAACCTACCTCCAGATGGCCACAAATCTGTCCCGGGACATATTTTGGGGGAACTGCGTCCTGAAGAGAGGTTTACTCTGTCGCCAATAATCTCTTCGTACTGGCAACACAAGAAGTCCCATGCCCATACACAGCCCAATAAATGTCTTCATCTCCGTCACAGTCACGGGTGACCACTTTGCCATCTTTGCTCTTGTTGGAGTTTGGTTTGTTTGGTCACTGTACCTATTCGTCTCGGTAACAAGATGCATCCAAAGTTCTTCATTAAAAATATGCTCAAATGCCTGCAGCGGTGTGGCGTCTGCAGGCAAATCAACTTTCACTCCAGGTGTGCGGTTGAAAACACTCCGTGCATTGCGGTGGTAGTTCGATTGGTTCAGCGCGTTCAAAGTCATCATTTTCATCTATACCGTCATCAAAGCCGACACACTCCTCAAAATCACTGCCTTCCGACAACTCTTCTCTGTCAAACTCCTCCATGTTTGCTTGAAAAAAACTTCTTTCTTCTTGCTTGACTTATATGCTCTCCCGGCGTCAATGGTAGAATTACGCAACAGCGCCCCCGGCTTGAATGGTAGAAATGCGGTAATGCTTTCCCGGCCTAAATGGGTTAATATTTGTACACATTAATTATGTTTTTGATAAAAATCCTTTGTTAGCGCAGATGTGCCCCCCCTGTGGTTACTGGGTGACCACAGACAGTGCCGCAGATAGGAGGCCTCTGATTGGTCAAGTCCTCTCCGCTCTACACTGCGTATTTCCTGTTTGGTACCTAATGGCAGGAACTCTGGCTGCAGCGCCATCCATAACGCCTGGCTCACCTTGGACACTATCCCAGACACCGTGTCTTTGGGGAACACTCACGGATGAACTTTGTGTCGTCCGCCGTTGGATGAGGGATTGTAGACGGGAACAAGCTCATCTAACCGACACACGAACACCCTCAATCCTAGCTAGCTCCTGATTGGCCATCTTGTGTTGTGGCGTGAAATAACAGTGCAAACCACGCTTCAAAACTGGGCATAAATCAATACCTGCAACAAGCTAACTGAGTTAATGGAGCAGAATAATACAGATGAGCCAAAAGAGCTAAATTGATGACATTTAATATACATGTATTTGTTACATTTTTATGATAATTAAATCTTACATGTCTGGTAATGCATGCAAAATATATATATATATATATATATATATATATATATATATATATATATATATATATATATATATATATATATATATATATATATATATATATATATATATATATATATATATATATATATATTTGGCTGTAGTCAAACTACATTGGCGTCAGTATAACATGCAATATAAATTATACAGAAATGACAGAATCATCCATTAATCATCAATTAATGACTTTCTATTTCCTCTACTTTCTATTTTCTAACCTCAGACCCAATGTCAGTGTCTAACTCAGTCAGTGTCTTCCAGTCAGTCTGAGATAGCCAGATTAATGTTAGTCTGCAGACTAAACTATAGGATCCATCGGCAATAGATGGATTTATTGCTTAATTCATCCACTGACTGGGAAATTACCAGTGGAACGTCTTCCTGCAGACAGAAAACTGCTGGTTTTAGCAGCCAGATGCTGAATAGGGAGGCATTTTACTGCATGTCTCTGTGGGAGTGGGGAGTACCAACATGGCAGCCAGTGGCTTCACTTTTTTTGGGCAATCAGCAATCCAGTGAATAAATGGAGATCAATGGGGACAACAGAGTTGGACATATTGAGATGTTCTTAATAAAGCCCTGACTTCTGCCTGCAGGTCCAGTCTCAGAATCAGAACGATCGGTCATCATGTAAATGAGTCCAGCTTTGCTTCTGTTAAACTAGGTGCTAAGAACTGCAGCTGGTTTTGTTCTCGTCCTGTTTGACTGGAGCTGATAGATGTGAGCAGTTTGTAACTGTGGTTGGCCCTGACCTCACCTGACCCCACGGGAAGCAGAGGAAAGCTTTCACAGTAATGGTTGACCCCATAAAATACCTGTATGGGATAAAGATGCAGTGAAAGTCAACAGGCTGTGATTAATGAGCAGAAAGCTGTAACTCATCGTTAAAACAAACGGCTTCCTGGGTTCAGCATTAAGGGGAAGCTGCAGGATGGCAACCCTGTGGACACATCTCTGTTGAAATTTGTTGATTTTTTTTTTTTTACGAGCTCATGGTCGACCCGAACGCAGTGTGTGTCAGCATGTGTCAGTTTTTCCGTTTTTTTTTTTCTCCCATTCCAGTGAGTGGAGGTAACACAGCTGTACTCTGCCATTATAAAGCCAGTGTAACGCTGCGGTCCGCTCCCTGGAAGCTCGCCTGATGCCTGGGCAATGGCTTCGTCCGCAGCTCACGTTGTAAAACGCAGCGCCAACAACCCCCAGAGCTGTGCTGCTGCTGCTGACTCTGCCTCCATCCGCTTCTCCAACTGATTGTCCTCGTTTCTTCCTGCTTTTCAGCTGATTTCTCATATATTCAACTCAATCTGAATTTAAGGAACATTTAAATATATGGTCAATCTTTGCTACTTCCGATTCAGAATGGCAAGATAAACAAAACACAGGAGAGTCGACGGGGAAATCCAAATCTCAGACAGGATTACACGATTCCAATAAGCCAACAAAGGCGTGCTATTTCTGAACATATGCTTCCTGACCAACACCAGAAATAGTTTGGCGTAACGCGGCGCAGAGTGTAGAGGAAAGCTTGGACGAATCCAACAAAAGGAGCTAAAGAGGAAAACTGTCGGCTATGATGGACGGCTTTTTTCCAAGACAAGCAGCCTTTGAATAGCAGGAAACCACCAGTATAAACACATCTATGGTGTTGGGCCTGATGGGGAGAGCCGATCAAAACAACCCAAATCAAAATTTATGGTCAAGACATTTGGGAAATGCTCCGCATTGCTGGAAAAGAAGATGACTGATCACTGTTTTCCTTTACGAAAAATGGAAAAAAAGTTCTGAGAGGAGAAATTAATCAGTTCATCTTTGCCTCAAGTTTTATATTCAGGTCTTCATTTGATGTACTAAACAATGGCTGTTTTCATTACCTTTCATTTATAAACAAGCAAAGCCAAATGCGGGACAAGTTCCATAGAAAATAAGATGCTCTGAGAGAGATACGATCTCTGAGCCCTGCTCTTCATGCATGCTCCAGTCATGGCTGGGGGAATTTTCCACGACGCTTCCAAGGAACTGTTAGTGCAGGTGTGTTGCAATAAACCCCTCCCTCTTTTAGAAAATGTAGGTGCAAAAGCATTTGACTGAAAAGGCGTCATTCATAGAGTGAATGAGGGGAACAATATGGTGAAGAGGTCAAAGGACGTAAAACAAACTTTACAAAGTAAAAATAGATTAAAAAGATATGAGTTAGAGGTTCAGTGATGCGTTATGTGCCAAAAGACGGAGGAGTGAAGCTTCCTCTCCCTTTCTGCACCATTCAGACACATCTTAAAAACATAATAATACCAAAACAATAAAAGCATTTAAAGAAAAACGGGCAGGTTTAAAAAAGAGAAACAAGAAAGTTTAATTTTAAGCAAACATATTCTGCATTTCTAAGACAGAAATGATGAGCTGAGGGAGTTAGTTGGGAATGCTGCAGAAAATGGGTTCAAATGTTCCCTAACTGTTCCCTCTCGGTGGGAACAATGACGATGACGTCTGGGTTTTTATGGTCTTCTCCACCTCAGATTGTTTAGTGCATCAGAAATCAGACGGGGAGACAAGGCAGTGACCTGTTGTCTCTGGTGTTGGTCTTCTGAGATTTCTTCTTCTGCTAAAATCAGAGCTGAGTTTTTTTCTTCATCTTCAAACACTGAAATCACCGTGCATTTATCATCCAAAACCAATCAGCACACAGCTTTACAAGGAACCCTCCCCAGTCCACCTGAAGCCGCAGTTTCCTCTGTCATACATCCACTAGCATGCAGGCATTCTGCCTTCTCTTATGTGATTGTTCTGCTCATCAAAACTGAGGGAAAAAAGCCCAGCAACCAGAAAACCAAGCAATCCTGATAACTCCTGTTCCAGAAGCCTAGTATCAAGGCTCAGAACACAGGACCCAGTATTCAAGACGGACAGACGGTTAGATTTTTTCCAAAAGCGTTTATTTAAAAAGGATGGATTGGCAGCGGCAGCTAAGGCATCAAGGCAGGACCCTCTGCAGGAAGGAAGCACAGGTTAGTGACCAGCTTAACCTGGCAGAGGATGGTTACCAACGTGTGAGTCACTATTCAAAACCAGGAGATCAGAGGTCTGAGAGGGTCCGAAGGGAAATCCAGGTTGGTGTCTGGAATCAGTTCCAAGTTCGGTTAACAGAATCCAGCAGGACTGCAAGGACAGGTCAGGCAAACAGATGAAAACAGGAACAGGAAGGCTCAGAGGTTCAAAGGCAGAATAGGTCAGGATCAGAAAAACGGAACACAATCTGGTACGTTCAGAATCAGACAAACTTTAATATTCCCAGAGGGAAATTACTTTTGTTACACGCTCCAGATATACAAACATTTTTATATATATATATATATATATATATATATATATATATATATATATATATATATATATATATATATATATATATATATATATATATATATATATATATATATATATATATATATATATATATATATATATATATATATATGTACAGTATGTATATGTATATGTTGGAGAACTCCCAGCAAAGGCTTGACTAATCTGGCACTGATGACTGTTTAGAGGCCTGATTAATTAGAAGCAGCAGCAGGTGGATCAGATGAATGTTAATGAGGAACTGGGTGGAGTTAGAAAGGTGAATGAAATGAGTAATAAAGCCAGTCATCGGCACCAACATCATGACACCAAGTCCTCATCATCAAGATCAACCAGACCTTTTTGCTTCTTAGGGACATCGTTTGATTCCATGGAAACTCTGGGCCAAACCAGCAGGTTCATAAGTAGCATTCCGACACAGGAAACCCGGCTGTAAAGAAAGCAACACTTCAAGTCCATTATTAGTCCATCATTTACTGTAGCAGCTCATCAAATGTGTTCCTATTGTTTTGCTGTATATAATAACCTGTGAGATACCACAGAAGCGTGTTATGTCATAACTTCCTGTCCCTCCTGAATGATTTCCTCCTCTCTGATATGATGCAGTTAGACCGGCGATCGGAGCCCTCCTCCTGGGCTGAATGGGAATGATACAAAGGCCCATAAACCTGGCAGGTCAAGCAGCAGCCTGTTGATACCTCACT